TGACTTCAAAGTGGAAAAAATATGAATTCAGTGATTTCAAAGGTCTCCCACCCGAAAGACACAATGATATTTTTAGAATTTTAGACTGTAATAAATGAGGTTTTCTTGTTTATAGATTCATAGAAAGTTTTTTTTTTTCACTTTCATTTCACTCTCTGGTACAAAAAAAAATGATTACTTCTGTTGTGAACTGAATTAGTGGCCCTCAAATTCAGTTGGTGAAGCCCCACATCCTAATGTGACCATACTTGGAGACAGGCCCTAAAAGTAGGTAAAGGTCAAGTAAGATCATAGGGTAGGACCACTATCCAAAGAACTAGTGTCCTGTTAAGAGGAGGAAGGGACCCCAGAGTTTGCTCCCTCCATACAGAGAAAAGGTCATGTGAGTACACAGCAAGAAGGTGGCTCTCTGCAAGCCAGGAAGGGAGACCTCACCAAAAACAGAATTTGCTTGCACCTTGATCATGGACTTTAGACCCCAGAATTGTGGGAAAATAAATTCCTGTTGTCTGAGCCACCTACTCTGGAGTATTTTGTTATGTCAGCCCAAGCAGACCAGATAGTTTCTAAAACTAAAGAGCTTACAGATTTTAGGTAGTTTTACTCTACTGATAATCCAGGTGAATAACTGACAGTTACAAAGATGATCCACTTATATGGGCACCTGGGTGGTTCAGTCAATTGAGTGTCCAACTCTGGATTTTGGCTCAGGTCATGATCCCAGCATCATGGGATCAAGCCCCATGTTAGGCACTGTGGCAAGTGGGGAACCTACTTAGGATTTTCTCTCTTTTTCCTTCTGCCCCTCTCCCCACTTGCACATGCACCCTCTCCTTCTAAATAATAATTTAAAAAAAGATCCACTTATAAAGTGAAGAATTTGGAACAATTTGGAAGAGTAATTTATTCCCTTTAAATTATTTTGTATGTTTTTCTAAATTAAACAAATGAACTGTCATTTTAGAAACAGCATACAACTTTGACCCAAAAGAGGTATCAACAATATTGTGCCTGATTCCGAGAGTGTGAGGGAATAATATCAATAGAGAATGGCTTGAAGAAGTCTCAATAATTTAACCCTCATTAGAAAATAGTAACATAGGCAGCTCTCTCTGCCCATGGGTGTTGTCCCCATGTTTTAATTAAAATACGTTTTGGCACTGAAATTAAAAAAAAAAAAACTGTTACATAAAATCTTGAGATAGAAATGTTGATTCTTTTGAAATCAAACGGTATTTACTCTACATGGTAAAGAAAATTTCTTTGGCACTCTCTCCTGTTCCTGCACCTTGCATCGAGATTTTATCAAATGTGATTTAATCCAGATCTTATTAATATTCAGAGTGAAGAGCACATGTCTACATTTGTCAGTCACACTGTCTTTAAAACCCCTACATTTTCAGTGGTAAGAAGTGAATTATTAGATCATGGGGGATTTACTCTCTGCAGGATTTACTCTTTCACTCCATGTTAAGAATAAAGCCACTCCAGGGCCCGTGGGTGGCTCAGTTGGTTAAGCGTCTGACTCCTAACATCAGCTCAGGTTGTGATCTCGAGGTCCTGATATTGAGCCCCAGGTCAAGCTCCACGCTGGCAGTACGGAGCCTGCTTAGGATGTTCTCCCTCTCTCTCTGCCCCTCCTCCACTCACGCAGTCTCTCTCTCTCTCAAAATAAATGAACTTTAAAAAATAATAATAATAAAGCCAAAGCCACTTTGTACTTTTAGTAAAACTGTAGGAGAATATATAGGTCCTTTACGCATTCAGGACAATATATTAAAACACCTTAGAGGTATGTTTCTGTATTTACATATAAATATACACACATTTTACACATACATACACTGTCAGATGTCTGTGAAAGGTATTTTATAGTGCATTCAAGATTCTTGAACTCTGACCACAGTTTTCTTTTTTTTAACTTCCATTTCTTGAGTGCTTCCTAGGTGCCAGGTGCTACATCAGGCACTTGACATATTTCTTTTAATTCTCACAGTCCTACAAGGTAGAGATCAATACAAATAAGACTAGTAAATATACTGGAACCTTTTATTCTATGATGTAACAAGTTCCAACACTTGAAACATCAAGAAACTCCTTAACACTTGTCACAGATAGGGTACCATAGTTCACTGTGTTCTAGATTAACAAAAATGAAGGGATTTGTGGTCAAATAATTTCACATGTTCAAGAAATTCATTGTAAAGAATGAACAGACTTTCAGAAACTTTAAATACTAAATGCACTCTGTCTCTCCAAAAGAGCCATAGATTCAGATATTAAAGGTAAAATATGCACTGTGCATCCCAATCAGCCTTTCCTTACCCCATACCCTCTTTCTAAAGAGGCCAGTCCTATCCAATGACATAATGGTTGGCCATGGGACATGTTTTGGCTAGTGAAATAAGAGGCAGTGACATGTGCCACTTCCAACCAACAGTTTTAAGTGTCACGTTTCTACTATCATTCCTTTTTTCCTTCCACTTTAAGAGTTATGCATTCCAGGGGCATCTGGGTGGCTCTGTCAGCTAAGCGTCAGACTCTCGATTTTGGCTCGGGTCATGATCTCACAGTTCATGAGGTTGAGCCCCATCTTGGGCTCCATGCTGATAGTGTAGATAGAGGCTGCTTGGGATTCTCTCTTTCCCTCTCTCTCTGCCCCTTCCCTGCTTGCGTGCTCTTGCTCTCAAAATAAATAAATCAATTTAGGAAGGAAGGAAGGGAGGGAGGGAGGGAGGGGAGGAAGGGAGGGAGGGGAGGAAGGGAGGGAGGGAGGGAGGGAGGGAGGGAGGAAGGAAGGAAGGAAGGAAGGAAGGAAGGAAGGAAGGAAGGAAGGGGTTCTGTATCCCAGAAAGGTTGCTTCTTTAGCTTTGGTCCAGGAACAAAGAAGGCATTGAGCACAGTGTCAGCTGATTCATCAACAACATGAACAAGAGTGAGAAATTTTTACTGCCATGAACCACTCGGATTTGGGAACTCTTTGGATAATGAAACAACTTTGCCTAAACTGAATGATACATCATGTTTCCTAGATTTACTGGACTCTAGCATCCTTTGGCCATGTAACATCTTCCAGGATTTGCTGCCTAAATTATACTCCTGGATTCACACAGCATCTGCTTCTTAGTTAATACTGTATTTAAGATGATTGTAAATGTAAGGTAGAAGTATATAGTGTTAGTCACCTTCAATTAAGCTTCTTAAAATTTTATCAGCAATATGAATTTATGTCAGTTTCTTATAGTCAATAAAAAACATTTTATTGAAATAATCTGGTTAATATTCAGAAATCACAAATCAGATGGCTACTTAAGTCAAGACTGCCAAACTAATGCTGATGAACAATTTAGTTTCCAGAGCAGATCAGATAAAGTTCCCAGCTTTACTTTCTATGTATGTATTCATATTTAGCAAATTCAGAATACTGTCATAAATTTAAATTTTCTTTAAACCTCACTACATTCAACTCTTTAGGATCAATAATTGAGAACAACATATTTAATATTTCAGTATCAATATTCAAATATTCTATAGTCTATTCTGCTGACCCAGTAAAACCAAAATCAACTATACACTAACTGGCAGTCTTAAATCCAGAATCTGTATTTGAAACTTAATTATGCCTTCAAGGATGGCAAGAAAGGAGGAAAAATGATAACCAAATCCTAGTCTTCTCACTGACATTTAAGATTTTGTTGGTGTTTGGGGAGCCTGGGTGGCTCCATCAGTTAAGTGTCCGACTTTGGCTCAGGTAATGATCTCAGAGTCAGTGGGTTCAAGCCCCGCATCGGGCTGGAGCCTCCTTCGGATTCTGAGTCTCCCTCCCTCTCTGGCCCCTCCCCCATTCACTCTCTGTCTCTCAAAATAAAATAAAGACATAAAAAAATTAGAAAAAAAAAAAGACGTTGTTGGTGTTTAAATATCCAAGTAAATAGATATTCAAGCTAAGTTGTACATAGGTTTCTGTATGTACAATAGGCCTTTCGTTTATACCCACATCATAAAAGCAATATGCAATCATATTATTTCCTAAAACATGAAGGTAGCCACAGATATTCTAGACAGATTTTGAAAAGCTAACAAATCAAAATACTTGAAAACAGGAAAAGTTAAGATTAATTCTCAATCAGAAAATTAAAGAATAAATTCAAAAAATAAGTCCTAAAAACTACAACTAAACAATATTTACTAAATTTTTTCATTTTAATTTACCTCACATTCCTGTCTTTAAAGCATCAGTTCACCATAAAGTGTTCAGACATCAATAATCACACATTCTACTCCCAGAAGGAGACAACTCTATGCATTTCAGTAGCCATTATTAAGATTAATCTTAAAATACTATTGCTGTATCTTAAAATCATTTTTTAAAAACTTGTCTCCTTCGGAAATAACTTATGTACAAGAGGACAATTATAGTAGGAGGTTCAGAGTTTGATATAATTTGTCACATATATATTCTGCAATCTCAACTTTTTCTTCACTGTGCGGTTTTCATATTCAGTTTCAGAATGCTGCCACTTGCCTCTATTATTTGTAACAGATTTTAAAAAACTACTCCATAATGCTTTGATACAAATCCATTTTTCAATTAAAGCCAAAGGCAGTGCAAACAAAAATAACTTGTGCAGACTAGACCCATTTTAATACTTATTTAGGTATGTAACCTCTATATATTCAGGACTTGAATAAACTGGACATTCCACCAATAGCTCATTACTGTGGGGAAACAAATCAGACATTCTGAAATTATTTTTTTAAAATTCATGATTTTAAGGGAAAATTTAACTTACTTGATGATGGAGATTAAAAGGTCACTTTAAAAAATAGTAATTCACCAAAAACGACAAACACCACACAAAGGCATCGCCCTGCCCTGATCACTACGGGAGGCGAACGCGTCAGATGGGGAAAAGCGGGGACCGGCGTGGACAGCACGCAGTTGTCGCCGGCTTCACTGCTTCCACCCGAGTCTGATGCACCTGTGATGTGGCTCTTACCAGTCAAGTCAAGACTTTCCATTGTGATTTGAATGGAACATCAGAATTTCCAGCTTCTGTGATGCAGCAGGATTCTGTGAAAGACCCATAGGAAAGTGGTTAAATGGTGAGCCATGAAGGACTTTCAAGCAAAGCTGACACTCCTGGTCCTTTAGCAAAACTATACCCCCCAAAGTGAGTAACAGCTGAACAACCAAAATCAGGCAAATGATTAAAAGTTCCCATGCTAACACAATTTAGAGAAAGTGGCCTAAAGTGTTTATTGTCATTTTTAATTTAACAAAAAGAGAGTCACTAAAATTATTCAATGGAAAGTCTGAGATTCAAGTTATAGATAAAAAACTTTTATAGGCAATCACTTCTCAGTTTTTTGGCTGAAGTCAACTGTAGAATTACATGCAAATTCACTGGAAAACCAGGACATTAAATTGACATTCTAACTAGATTCAAGTTATTTTAAATGACTGGTCCAACCAAACCAATAAGCTGTGGTTCAGATACTAATCTGATACTGTCTATTTTAAGTGTTCTAAAGATAATGAGTGAAGCAACACAGTTTTGTTTTGTTTTAAGGTGTGGAGTATGGGGAGACAGCCACAGAGAAAAAATGTTACCAAAAAAATTACTTCCTAGCTAAAAGTGATGAAATAAATACAGGAAAGAGGATCAAAATCAGCAAAAGGTTGTCCACAAACACTAAATGGAAGACTTGACATTAATAATACTACAAATATAGACATATACCTAAATTGTATCACTTTTAAGAATTAAGTTATTTCAGTTTCTAGGTGAGATACATTTGTTTAGTTACCAGGATGCTCCAATAGTAATACTAAATTTACACTCAACTAAGAGGGAATTTCCTACCTCTGTGCTGATTATATTTCTTTACATGGAAGCACTTACATTAAATATCAAAAATATGTAATTATTCATCTGAGTAATCCTATCTAGACTTAGACAATTCAGTTATCACCCAGTGCTATTGAAAAATATAGCTGCAAACAATGAACAAAATATTAAATGGTTTCATGTGGCTTCATATAAGTTACTACTCATTCATCCATATTTTTTAAAACAACAGTATGGATGAAACAATAAATCCAGATCGTTGAAGCAAACTACAAAGGACACATATGAATACTTTCAAATTAAATAATTGTGTTTTTACAAAGGAAGTGTACAATTCCAAAAACCAAGTGGTAACATAAAGTCTATTCTTAATTATCATAAAGTAGACATTATTAAAAACACTGTTTTAGAAAATACATTATCTCATATATTTAATCACCTAAGTTTTTCATATAAATCCAAAAGTCAATATAGAAAAGAACCATTAAAATAAACATTGTTTAAAAAAAAGGAGAGAAACACTGTAAAAAAATGGGTAAAAATCATGAATAACTATTAAAAAAGGTAGGTACATAAATTGGTATAAATGAAAAAAAATTTACACTGCCAAAATTGGAAAAGGAGGGTCAAACATTAATTAACAGTGTGGATTTAATTCTTATTTTGAAGATCTGTGTAGCTTTTGGTTAAGTGAGCACATGCTTCCTGAGAAAATACATTAATATATCCTATACACAGAACTTCTTTTAGAAGCCGAAAAATAAACTCTCCGTAATCTTCCGGGTATTCTTGTTGATGTGTTTGTTTCTATAATCAAATACACACACACACACACACACACACATCAAAAAATAGACTATAGCTACACCTTATTTTGATTATTATTCAATAATTTATCAGCTGTGATGCCACTATCTACAGACAAGTGGGGAGGGACAGGAAGGAGGGTAACTATGCTGTGGCCAATAGGGATTTTTAAACTCTTAGGGTAACAGAGAAATCTTGTTGGACTTAACTGACTGAGGAGAGAAAAGCCAGGGAATCAGCCACAGAGTAGAGGTCAACTTCAAAGCTGAAGATCCTACCTGGGACAGACTCCCTTAGAGTTCTCCGATAGTCAACCTTAGAGACTCCAGATTTTATCTGATTCCTACAAAAGCCCACATAAGTAGCTTTAGAAAAGCAGTTTCAGCATAAGCTGCTCTGCATTTAAGTTACAAATACCTCTCAAAGTGCTCTCAGGTGATGGAAATGGGTGGCTGTGTGAGGTGTCAGAGGACAGAGGGGGTCAAGCACTGGCAAATGCCGAAGGCGTGAACACAACCCTGCAGAATGGGGACTTGAGTGTGCCCTTCTACCACAGCCAGGGCAGATTTTCATCTCAGCCAGCCCATGCCTGTGTTTTCTGAGTCCCACTTTGGCTTCTTCTCAACCCTGACTCTCATTCTTAGCTCACACTGCCTTGTTAAGAATCTGTTCCCTTCTCCTTTCCAAGACCTATTTCCCACCCGTGACCCCACTGCCCCCAGAGGATGCAAACCTAGCAGGACTGATCAGGCACAGCTCAGGATTTCCTCTCAGGAATGCCATGGCAGGTGGGAGAACTATCTATTAAATATCTGTTATTTACCTCTTAGTGCAAATTGGGCATCTGACTTGGCATTTGAAAAACCTATCTTAAAGAATGGGCCTCAGAAACCACTGCAAGATCCCAAAGCAACTGGCTTACTGGCACGGCTTGCGCACTGCCCCTTGGGGTGCTATGTTTTGAAAAGCTTATTATACTAAAAAAAGGTGAGGTGCCACTTCTTACAATGAGACAGACTCCCAATTAGTGTTAATGTACAGTATAACATTCAAAGACACATCATGGTAAAATCCCCTTCTATGTCAACACTGGGTGTTTTGCACCCTGATGTCATTACTGCCCCGTCAGTTCGGAAGAGACTCCAAGGCAACCATGTTGCCCACTTACATGGAAGAATATTTAATCCCCATGAATGACTGCTTTTCTGATGTTTTCATCAATTCTCTGGGTAATAGATTAAGCTTTAACTAACTCATTTTCATACATAACCTTAATTCAATCAAGCTCAATAAAAGTCATTCTGGACTGCAATTATTTGCTAAAGAACAATTACATTCAAATGAAAAAAAATTGTTAGTCATGATACAATGCATGGTACAGATGCGTCTCCATTTATGGTACCAGAAACAACAACAAAAATAGCCAAACTGCTAGAAAAGGAAATAGATTTTTCCTCATTCTCCTGAAGAATAGAATACTCTTGGCTTTACACCTGAAGAAAACAACATGGAGAACCCAAAAAAGCACATTTGAAAATTATTTTCAATGTTTGTGCTTTCAAAGAGACTGTATTTCAAATCTAAGAGTCAGCATGACCTCTGAAAGCCAAAACAAGTCCAAGTCACAAATAACAGTCTTAATACTCATTCTTTTGCTAAATCTTTCACTGGTTTCCTCCATTTTCCCAGCAACATGTATTTCACTCTCCATACTTGATGATCCAGGTTTTCTTAAAATATTTTTTTCTGTCTTAAAACTACTTCTTTACATGAGTACAATTCTTATATTTTCCTCAATTCCCTCTTTTATATACTGCATGCTTACAAATAAAACTTAAATACAAACTCCAAGCTCTATGTGTAATATATCATATTTGTAGTCTAAAAAATTTTCCCCGGGGCACTTGGGTGGCTCAGTTGGTTACACATCTGACTTCTGCTCAGGTCATGATTTCATGGTTTGTGGGTTTGAGCCCCACATTGGGCTCTGTGTTGACAGCTCAGAGCCTGGGGCCTGCTTCAGATTCTGTGTCTCCCTCTCTCTCTGCCTCTTCCCCGCTAGTGCTCTTTCTCTCAAAAATAATAAACAATTAAAAAATAAATAAATTTTAAAATAAATAAATAAAAGATTCTCACCGATTTAACAAAAGCCTTCCCTGTCCTGTGTGTGCCTAGGGTCTTCTACCCAATCTCCTCACAGGTGGCATCACACACATTACTCAATAGTACAGTACTGAAAATGCATATCAGCTATTTTATGATTTTGGCCAATGAATTCCACGCTTCAGGTCACTGTGGTCCACTCATGGGACAAAGGATGCTTTTCCTAGATATAATAAGCTGATAGTCTGACCTCCAATTAAATCAATTCCTGAAAAAGAATCTCTTCATATAGATGAAGATAACTGCAGAGACACATACTCACACACACACACATAAAAACTTACACATACACAAATATATATGCTTTTTAACAAGTGCTGTCTTTATTCATACAATATATTATCAACACTTTCGTTAAAATCTTTATGCTTGAAGCTTAAACCACAGCTATTTCACAGGCATTTTTGGCCAGGCACCAATCTTTAACAGAAATTACAAGTGTCAGCTATACTGAAAATGGAAATCTCTTAAAAGAAAATGCAAATTTGAAGTACCTCTCTGTCATCTTCCCACACAGGCCCTTGCATTTCCTCATGACCCAGGGCCTTTTGGGTAAGGAACTTTAAAGATAGTAAAATAGGCAAAACAAGAGTTCTCTAGATATCTAAGTCATTACAGATTTGTCCATCTGTTTGGACTTCCCAGTACGCTGTTAGAAAACACTAGCAGGCAGAGACAAAAAATTCTAGCAATCATTGTTGACATGGACCTCTTATGATAGCAAGATGAAAGATTTGGAGGATGCCTGAGTGGCTCAGTCGGTTAAGTCTCCCACTCTTGATTTCGGCTCAGGTCATGATCTCACGGTTTGTAAGACTGAACCCTGTGTTGGGTTCTGCACTGACAGTATGGAGCCTGCTTGGGAGCCCCTCTTTCCCTCCCTTTCTGCCCCTCCCCTACTTGTGTGCTCTCCCTCTCTCTCTTTCTCTCTCTCAAAATAAATAAATAAACTTAAAAAGATTGAAAGGTTTAGAAATCCTCTCCTTTCCAGTACTCAATATTGACCAATTATAAAACTATGATTTAAAAACTACCTACCACTTATCTATATGCCAACAGCACAGAGATACAAATGATATAACCTTTTACAGTTTGAGAAATTATTAATGACTTACCACCTATTAACACTGTAAACAGTAAGTTTGAGTTGCTGGTTTTTAGAAGCTGATGATCTAGTGGAGTAATTATACTCTCTCTCTCAGATACACACACACGTTAAATAATAGTAGAGAAAAATGTATGTCAAAATGGT